GTGTAGCTCAAACGGTTCCGGAGATATAGGCATTTGAAGATCACATTTTTGCTGGTTTTCTGATGTTTTCCTACTAGAAATTGTCCAAAACAAATGAAAAACATAGTATGGGCAGCTAAAACCGGTGCCAATCTTAATCTACATATGTCCCCTGCAATATGTATCGCGCCCAGCGAAATTGGTGTGTAACACCTAAAAACCTTCCCTTGTAAGGGGAAGGGGTTGCTCACCACCACCCAATGTGGAAACCGCTTTGTTTTTGCAGACTCACAAACGCCCTCTTAACTACTTTGCGGTACAAACTAACGTATCCGGTCGGATGGTGCATTCTGCGAATGTTGTAAGCCTGGGACCCAGAACCCCTTGGCCAGTAACCCACGCGGGGCGAGACGGGCCGGGCCGGAGCGGCGAGCGGCGCGCCCGCGACGGGGAGCGGCCCGGAGAGCCTCGCCGCTGACGCCTCCAGAGAGAGACTACATTTTATCCGGTTTAGTAGAGTATATATCAGGCGAGTGCCCCGCGGAGGGAAAAGGGGAAAGAAGAGGGGAGGAGGGGGTCGTCATTAAAAGAATGAACCTGCCGCGGCGTGGCGCGCAGCAATATGTGTGACGACGACGCACCGCCACGCCGTGCCGCTGCATTTGCAACATTGACGCGTCGCCGCAAACCCGGCCCGCGGCCAGGTGAAGGATGGCCCGCGTCAAGGCGGCGGGGAGTTATTCGTCCTGCAGGACCCCCTTCGCCCGGCCTCCTGCGCCAGCTCCTGCGCTCTCCCCTCCTCCCCCCCTCCGCGGCCCACCACGGGGCGCCCCTCACCCCTCACAACTAAGGATGTATAATTTGTAATGCATTGAAAATGATTAAAAGTCACTAAATTCATTGGATTTAAAATGATTAAAATGCTGTGATTGAAACAACAGTGAAAGTTAAAGTTTTGTATTCGCGTTTAAAAGCGAATACTTTGTCCTTAGCTCCGGAATGTAATGGAAAACCGTCGCTGAGAGAGGGACATTGCACACCCCCTCGGGCTGGTAGGTACTAATCGTAGATGTCGGTTCTATGTCGAATCCCCGTGATGTAGTGCAGCTATGGGTGTAATTTGAAACATCGGCGCCAACTACCCGATATTAAAGTTCGTGTGCGTGCCAGTGGGTGAACGAGCACGACCGCGGGATCGCGTCGTGCTCTCTGTAATGTTGAAAGGAAAACGGCTTGTTTATATGCTTGTCCGCCGTGGTATGAGTATGGGCGGGGCGGGGCGGGGTGTGGCGCCGCCTTCCCCTGTGGGTACACACAATACAGGACGGGCCGGCAGAGGCAAGGCCTCCTGGTTTGTGGGTCGGAGGTGAGAGTCGCCCTGCCGCCGCTGCGCCGCAGTTTGTCGTCGTGTCTATAACGTTCTACCGAGGCGGGCGACGCGTCGACCGCAGGAAGACACACACTACTCTCCGGTACAGTCTTTACCGGCAGCGCTAATCATCCTTACACTCGTTTACCCCTCGCGACGCGTTACGGCCCCAGCCGCAGTCGGACGAGTAATGGACATTCTCTCTATCCGTGTGCCTCGCAGGTGTCGCTGGCGGCGGCCGACGGCGACATGTGGCCGCTGGAGCGGCCGGTGGGGATGCCGGCCATCCAGGCGCTCGAGGTCATGTGCGGCAAGGACCACATGGACGTGCACCTCACCTTCACGCAGCCCTTCGACGGCCTCGTCTCCTCAAAGGGCCAGTACGGCGACCCGCGGTGCGTGTACGTTCCGCCGTCCACGGGCAAGGCCTCCTTCTCCTTCCGCATCGCCTACTCGCACTGCGGCACTAAGCCCGACCTGCACGGCCAGTTCTACGAGAACACGGTCGTCGTGCAGTACGACAAGGACCTGCTCGAGGTCTGGGACGAGGCCAAGCGGCTGCGCTGCGAGTGGTACAACGACTACGAGAAGACAGCCTCCAAGCCGCCCATGGTCATCGCCGACCTCGATGTCATTCAGCTCGACTTCAGAGGTGAGTCAAATACCGATCTGCTCCGCTTCGTAACCTAATCAAATCGAGGCGCGCGTTTAATCTCACTCCCTTCTTGCTAACTCTGCTTGTAACATTTCGGTGGCACACCCACATCATTTAGAGGAGGGGACCGACCAAACTGTAGCCTTCACCGATATGATTGCCTTCAGGTGACAACGTGGACTGCTGGATGGAGATCCAGCACGGCAAAGGCCCATGGGCGCCGCCAGTGTCCGGCATCGTGCCCCTCGGCTCTACGCTCACCCTGGTCGTGGCCATCAACGACTACAGAGGTGAGTGCCGCCCATGTAGGGCCGAGCCCACCCGTCGGGCCGCCCCGGGCGCCACGTGCTCAGTCTGGGTCTGCTTGCAGGGGAGTTCGACATGCGGGTCAAGTCGTGCGCGGCCTCCGACGGCGGCGGCCACGTCATCCAGCTGTCGGACGAGCACGGCTGCGTGCTCCGGCCCAAGATGATCTCCCGCTTCCTCAAGGCGCGCACGGCGGACGAGCGCGCCTCCGTTGTCACCTACGCCTTCTTCCACGCCTTCAAGTTCCCGGACGCCTTGTCCGTGCACATCAAGTGCAAGGTGAGTGTGCGTGCGTGCGTGCGTGCGTACGTGCGTGCGTGCCGCCTCGGTCGCGCGGCCCCGCGCCGCCGGCCGGGGGGTCACGGAGACGACACCATTGCGACGCGCCGCGGCGAGACAGACACGGTGTAATGTCGGTCATTTGCCGCACGCCCGCCCCGCTAGGCGGCGCCACCGCCACTCCCCGTCTGCCGCGCGCAGGCGACACACGTACACCTCGTACACTGTTTTAAAAAGAAATCTCATTGTCGGACCGCGACCTACCACCCGCTGTAGCTCAGCGAGGAAGATGAATGATGGCCATTTGTTCCCCGCAGGTGGAGATCTGTCGGCACGGCTGCCTCGATCACTGCCAGCAGGCGGGCCTGGGTCACGGGGCGGGCCAGGGCCACGACCACGGCCTGGGTCAGGACCACGGCCTGGGTCAAGATCACGGCCTGGGTCACGACCACGGCCTTGGCGGCCACGACTCGGCCGATAGCCTACTCGGCGGCCTCGGCGGGGGCCTTGGTGCGGGCCTCGGGCACGAGTCAGGCTTGTACGGCCCCCTGGAGCGGAAGGACCAGCCCACCGCCGCGGTCCCGACGGCGTCGCAGCCGCGGCCCGTGTACACGCAGGGCGGGCCCACCATCAGGACGCCCGCGACCAGCGCGGAGAACGGCGGCGACCTCTTCGGCGACCTAATCTACGACGAGCTGGTCCAGGTGAGTCGCGCGCTCGCCCTAGACGTGCTCTGAGAGATCTCCTTTGCCTTACTTAGCCGTGTCTGCGTGTTCCCGCAGATGAACGACGAGGGTGGGGAGCTAGCCGGCGGCGAGCGCGACACGCCCACGGCAGCGGCCCACAAGGCACCCCGCCCGGCCAGGCCACACAAGCCCTCGGGGCCCTCCGGACCGGCGGACCTGCTCAACGACATGCACCACGACGTGCTCCCCAGGCCCTTCCAGGTACGTGTTAGAGCTTATCGGTGTCGTCCATCCCGTCGTCGACGTGCTAATGACTCGTTGCCCCCGCAGGAGCCACCATCGCGGCCGTCACCGAAGCGGGAAGGTGCGCCGGCGCACCCCCAAGAGCGCTTCCCCCACGGGCCCCGGCACCTGGACACGGACGACCTCCCCGTCAGCAGGGAGGCGAGGAGCGCAGTCGACAACAGCAGCGACAACGGCAGCAACGCGCCGAGGCCGCCGCCCCAGCGCCGGCGGAGGTCCGTGGCCGTGTCCGACCGGCACACGCGCAGCGCCGACGTGGGCGTCAGCGGGCTGTACGAGGTCATCAGCGAGGCGGACCTCGCCTTCACGCCCGACTCCAAGGCCGAGTCCGTGATCGTGTTCCAGGGCCGCATTCGGGAGGAGGTAAGTGGGCACGCTCCGCACGCTCTCGTGCACGGCCAGCGCTCATTGCTATGCGAGCGGGCACCGGCCGGACACCGGCTGGGCACCGGGCCTCCTCAAGCGATGGCTTCATTAGACATGCATTCGATTGACAGGGTCTGGAAAAGGGGCAATCGGTTGGGGAGGGAGCGGCATTTCTTTTCTCACGCCCGGACCCCCGGGGCCAGCGCACGGAAGCGAGTCCCCGTGTATTGTGGGGCGCGGGTTCCCTTATTCCGATCTTTAGATTTTGCCAGCTCATAAAACTGCGCCCAATTTACCAAAGCAAAGCGTCTCGGCGTTTTTCCACAACATAAAAAAATGAGGGTCTTCTGTAATGCATGGGAAGCAGAAAGAGCGCCTTCCGCAAACTGTCGTAGGCAAGCACCGTCTTGTCATTATTATCAAGTTTCCCCGTCTCGAACTGCAGCATGGGAAGGAGCGCGCATTTCGGAAATGCCACGCCCTTGCCTTTGCCCCGCCTTTGCACCAGTTTATACTTATACCTCCCCGGGCTTTGCATTCGGAGAAGGCCAAGGGGGCGTCGCTCGGCAAAGGCTGCATTAAATCGTTCCTTTAAAGCCTTATGACGAGGATAATTCGTTAATTTGCAGAGGGTGCGGTGTCTAACGAAGGCACGGGCCGTAATTTACGACCAGCTGTTACTGATTAACCCCATTGCATCAACAGGAAATAAAGATACAGGCTTCCTGTTCATTACTTTTCGGCAGCAGTGTGAATGAGTAAGTCTCCTGCAATTAGCATCAGCATCACGTGGCCCCGGGCCGTTACTGGTGCAAGGAAGGCGCCTGCTTTTACTTAAAGAAAAAAGGAAGAACAGATTCACCTGGTGCATCAAACAATTTAGGTCGCAAAGGGTTTAAAAATGAAAAGCAAGATCTTTGTCTGATCGACCGCAGAAAGCTGAGGAGCCTAGTAGCCCCGCCGGGCTCCACCGCCATTCCACGAAAGGTGCACCCGGTCAAGTTATCCCGCAACAGATTATACTCCTGCCACTTAAAGGTGGCGTGTCTTCTCTCCCTTTCTTTTCTTTTTTTCCGTCGACTCAGATTCGTTTGATCCCTCTGGAGTGATCTGTGAAGGATAAAGAGCCGCAAGGAGAGGTTAAGGTAGCTCTCTGTGAGTCACGAAAGGCGGCATGGCCTTTACGAATAAGGGGCCCGTCTGTGAATCACGTGCCGCATCTCTCGCTTTTACTCAGTACGCAGAGTAACGAACAAATGAATAACTAAATTTTAATTTTATCAGATAATTTATGAGGGACTAATAGCAGTTTTGATAGATAAACTAACAACTGGCTATACGAACCTGTAAATGACTTACAGTGAGTGTGTGGCGTGTTGCAGGTCGTATACGGTATCTGCCTGCCAGTGCAGGGCTTTAGCGTGCTCTTCGTGCTGGTGGCCGTCTCCGCGGTGGTGTCGGCCCTGGTGGCCGGCTCGCTGCTCTACCGCTACCAGGTACAGCGTGAGACGCAGCAGATCCTACAGCAGCAGCAACAGCAACAACAGCAGCACCAACAGCAACGGCAGCAGGGCCAGCAGCGGCAGCCGCACCCCCACCAGCAGCTCAGCATGCACGCGCTGGCCACCTGGATGTCTATGCGGTTTCTAGGGGGGCGCGCCGACCCATCGGGCAGAGACGGTGCCGCGACACGCAAGAGCCAGGACGGCGAGGTGAAGAGCTCGCGCTTCTAACTCACATTATAGTGACCGAGTCCCTCTCCCCTCTCCACTGTTAGTCGACGAAGCGAGCGGTTTTTGTTTTACTGGCGGAAAGGGGGCAGCAGCTGACATGGAGAGTAGTACACTCCCCTCCCCCACGTGCGCGCACGTCCTCGTCATTCCCCCCTTCCCTGGTCCACTCTTTTCCCCCCATCTCTTCTCCTTTCACACCTCCCTTATTTTCTCGCGCGGATGCGCTCAGGTCGGAATCTAAGTCATACAAGAGAGGCTTTCATAGTGAAGTGTACAAAGAGTATAGTATCAACTCAAGCTGGCAATGACGGTGCCTGTAGATTCTGAGAGAACCAAAAACATAAATAATTGAT